CACTTCCATCTCTCACTAATATCATTAGTTCTGTCTAGAATACCTTCTGCTCTCTACTATTGCCACTTATTGAAATTCCACTCATCTTTTCAAATAATACAATCTCAGTGAAGCTTTCCATCTCCAGCCGGAAGTGATCTTTCCTCTTTCTGCATTCTTAGAGCTCTGTCATAGCAAGACATTTATTAAACTTGTCCTTAAAATGTAAGTATTTGTGCCACAGAATTCTTTTTCAATTCCTCAAATATGGCATACTCATTTCCCTGCTGGATTCATAAGCCGGAACATACTTTTCACTCCTTTTCCCTTAGTTAACTCTTAGGTTTTCCTTCAAGTCTCAGTTCAGAGGAAACCTCCCTTAAAAAACTGGACTTCACAGCCCCCGGCCAACTCTGGGCCAAGTGCCCATGGTGGATACTACCCTGTCACAGCCGAGAGACTGCTAACTGGCTATTGACTTGTCTGCTCCCTCAGTAGACTCTAAATTTTATCAGAAATGCCCATTTATTTTGTTCATGGTTGTATTTCAATACCTTGCATAGTGCTGGGCATGTTTTTGGAACATTTTTAAATGAATTTACAATTAAATTTTCTTTATTATCCTGTCTGATTAATCCAGAGACAAATTTCAAAGTACAGGACTTTGCATACAGCATGTACTAATTAAATAACTGCTGCATGAAATAATTCTATGGTATTTGGCCTAGATTGATTATCTTAAGCCTTCAAAAAATATGAATTAAACTGAAAAACAGTGTAAATATGAATACTTGATAATATGTCTATGTAAACAAGGATAAACATTTCAAATTGACTTGAACATGTGATAAAATTTATAACTGAATCAAACCTAGAGAGTTTCCTTGACTTACTGCAAATCACTTTAATTTGCAGCTACCTGCATTTCTCAATTATTATTTATCTGTACTACAGAGCTCTAAACTCCAAATTACCTAGGTTCTTTATCACCTGGTTCCATCCTCAGTACTGTTTCAATGTACCAACTGTTGCTCACAGGTAAATACATTTTGCAATTTTAAAGCCTTCATTTTCCCACCATCAAGCTTTTTCCTTCTTTCTATGATCTATAAGATTTACCTTTATCTTCTTCCTTTAAAATACTATCATAGCACTTTTGGTGTTTGGCTGTGAGGAGGCCGAGGTTCAACGGTCTTTGTGATTCCGAATCTGAGTTTATCCAACACCAGCCATTTCCACCATGTCACCTAAGTTCAACCCCAAATAGATCAATGTTGTATACTTGATGTGCACCAGGGGGAATGTCGGTGTGATGTCTGCCCTGGTCCCTAACATCAGCCCCCTGGGTCTGAGTGAAATGATACCTTCTGCCTCTGCCCTGATTATCAAAGCCCCTCAAGAAACCACCAAGAGACAGAAAGAAACAGAAAAACATTAAACACAGTGGAAATAATACTTTTGATAAGACTGTCAACATTGCCCAACAGAGGTGTCACAGATCTTAAGCCAAAAAACTCTCTGGAACCATTAAAGAGATCCTGGGGATTGTCCAATCTGTGAACTGCCATGTTGATGGCTAGTACCCTCATCACATCATAGATAACACCAATAGTAGTACAGTGGAATTCCCAGCTAGTTGAGAACTACAAAGAAAAATATTTCAATAAAGGATCATTTGACAACCAAATAAATAAATAAATAAAAACTAGTCTTAGGTCACTTCTTCACTGACATCTCTCTTCATTCAGAAAAGCCTACTTTAGGCTTACTTTAATTCACTCCTCCATTCATCCTTGAGTTCATTCATCCATGAGCACTCATTCATTCATTCATTCATGAGCACTTACATGGCAAATCCTATGCCATGTGGGGTAGACTAATTGTTCATCAGCTAACTGGATTCATTTGACCACAAATACTCCCATCTCCAAAACGCTCCAAGTACCAGCATTGTACAGATCTACATGAAGAGTTTTAAGAATTTCAAGGAAGTGTGCATATCTGAGAAAGAAAGACCTGATCAATCTCTTAGGATCTTTTATAACTATTAATAACAAGACACCAGAAACAATGTTAAAGATCTAAAGGACAGGGGACACCTGGATGGCTCAGCGGTTTAGCACCTCCCTTCGGCCCAGGACATGATCCCAGAGTCCCCAGATCAAGTCCCACACTGGGCTCCCTGCATGGAGCCTACTTCTTCCTCTGCCTATGTCTCTGCCTTTCTCTCTCTCTCTCTCTCTCTCTCTCTCTCATGAATTAATAATATCTTTAAAAAAATCTAAAGGACAAATTCAGAAACCTATTTGCAATATATGAGAATGACGGGATTAATCATCTCTTTAAAAAAAAAAGTAGAAAAAAGAATAGTGCAGTAGCAAAGGATGCAAAAGAATATGTAAACAGGCAATTCACAGAACACATATAGCCCTAGCAAACATATAACATACTTTATTTCACTAACAATTGCAAATTAAAAGATAAAATCATATTCTTGTTTCTCTGTTCTGTACAGAGAAAAAAAGTTTTGGCATGGACACACCTTGCTATAAGAGTATTATATAGAATAACTTTTCAGAGTGTCTGCTCAGTTGGTTAAGAGTCTGCCTTCAGCAGACATCATGATCTCAAGGTCCTGGGATCCAGCCCCACGACCATCTGGCTCCCTGCTCAGCAGAGAGTCTGCTTCTCCCTCTCCCTCTCCCTCTGCCTCGCCCCCATGCATGTGCATATGTGCACTCTCTTTCTTTCTCAAATAAATAAATAAAACCTTTCTAAAAATAAGATAAAACAGAATAACTTCTCTGGAAAACAACTGGCAAGACAAGTAAAAATAAATAATATGCATGTTTTAACTCAAAGATTCTATATCTATAAATATTATTCCAGGAAAACAAAAGAAGATGAATGTACACATCTCACATGTAGGTGTATGTATAATTTTACTGCAGAATTATTTATATCAGCCAAAAAAAAGAAAAAAACACATAATACATTAAATGGATCTATTCACTGAGATAACTGGTAGCAGTTAAAACAAAGTAGAACTTCATGTATTGGCAATAAAGAAAAACACACTATAAAATAGTATGAACAGGATGAAAATATTACATAATAGAATCAACCCAGTGACACTATTATATGCATAACAATGAACTCTGGATTATTTTCATTATTACTCTCAGATGTATCAAGACTGCAGTTGAGATTTTCTGTGCTAGATTATCCTATCAGGCCCCTCCAGCTCTAAAATTCTTTACTTCTAAGAATTTTGTACAACATAGATCTTGGACATGGTGTATTGCAAGGTCCCATTGGGTCTCCCCTCTATGTTTAAGGGCCCTTTATAAAAATACAACATGCAAATACTGGGGTGCCTGGGTGGCTCAGTTGATTGAGCATCCCACTCCTGGTTTCAGCACAGGTCATGATCCCAGGGTCATGGGACCAAGCTTCACATAAGGCTCCACACTTAACGGGGAGTCTCCCGTCCTCTTCCTCTGCCTTTCCCCACCTCTATAATAATAAATAAATCTTAAAAAAAAAAAAAAAAACTACCAGAACCCATACAAAGAGATAAATGTTATATATGGTACATATAATCTAAAAATGCTACTGTAAACCAAATCCAATTAGAGAGAAATCATAAACAGCATTGGGACCTCTTTGTAGTTTGTAGGACTGGGATTTGTCAAAAGACATGGGGACAAAAACCACTGTTCTGGCTCCTGGTACCAAGCAAGTCAAAAAAATCTATCTGAACCTCAATTGCCTCAATTGTAAAATGGAAATAAGCATAATAACATTATATATGTCTTCTTTGGTGAAATTTCTGTTCATGTCTTTTGCCCACCAAAGAAGACATACACATGGCCAACAAGCACATGAGAAAATGCTCTGCATCACTTGCCATCAGGAAAATATAAATCAAAACCACAATGATATACCACCTCACACCAGTGAGAATGGCTAAAATCAACAAGACAGGAAACAATGAATGTTAGAGAATATGTGGAGAAAGGGGAATCCTTTTGCACTGTTGGTGGGAATGTGGTACAGCCACTCTGGAAAACTGTGTGGAGGTTCCTCAAAGAGTTAAAAATAGACCTGCCCTACGACCCAGCAATTGCACTGTTGGGGATTTACCCCAAGGATACAGATGCAGTGAAACACCAGGACACCTGCACCCCGATGTTTATAGCAGCCATGTCCACAATAGCCAAACTGTGGAAGGAGCCTCAGTGCCCATCGAAAGATGAATGGATAAAGAAGATGTGGTCTATATATACAATGGAATATTACTCAGCCATTAGAAATGACAAATACCCACCATTTGCTTCCACGTGGATGGAAGTGAAGTGTATTATGCTAAGTGAAGTAAAAAAAAAAAAAAATGAAGCAAGTCAATCGGAGGAGGACAAACATTATATGGTTTCATTCATTCGGAGAATATAAGAAATAGTGAAAGGAATTATAGGGGAATGGAGGGAAAATGAGTGGGAAATATCAGAGAGGGAGACAGAATATGAGAGACTCCTAACTCTGGGAAACGAACAAGGGGTAGTGGAAGGGGAGGTAGGCGGAGGGTGGGGGTGACTGGGTGATGGGCACTGAGGGGGGCACTTGACTGGATGAGCACTGGGTGTTATACCATATGTTGGCAAATCGAACTCCAATAAAAAAATATACCAAAAAAAAGTATTATATAGATACCATATAAAAGGTGCCTAATACAATGCTTGGGACAAAATAGGTTCTCAAATACTTGACTAACAGATACAGTTGCATCATTGTTGCTCTTGCTAAGGTATCTAGTTTGTTGCCCTAAATTTGGTAACATCAAATCTATTTTGTTCATCTGAATTTTTGTAACACCCCCTTTCACAACCATCGTATTTTATCTCTATACTACCTGTTAGAAAGGAGATTCTTGCCCCTCAGAAGTCTATCTGTTAAGATATTCTTACCCACCATATGCGAAAATCTGTTAACTCAGAAACTTAGGGAGAAAGCATACTTACAAAGCACACCCCCAAAACTCCGTGTTGTTCTCCTCTGTGTTCTCCTCAGTGCTCTTCTTAGGCACATATGTCTGCCTATCATTTCTTCATGAGGTTCAGGGCAAAAGGCCTAGTCACGTAGATGATCTTTGGTTGCCCCCACACTTTCCCTAAACCGCCTACAGATAAATGAAACAAGGGCGTAAAACACACCTATAATTTTACATTTTTTTACATAATACAAGATCAAAATAAGTTCACCCTCACCCTGCACAATTTACAGCACAGCAGACAACAGAGAAAGTGTCCTTGGATCATGCAAAAGCCCCAGTGAACTCACAGGAATTCCTCACATCTAAGTACTCAGCCACTATACCTGGTCACCCCTTGGGCTGGGAATTACAGACCAAATGTGGCTCAAAATACTGTCCCTAAAGTTAACATGTTACTTCTGAATTTAATGGCCCGACTTATTTCTAAGCCAGGAGTGAACTATCTGCTACCATTCCTAAAGGAAATATTTTATAAGCTGCCCAACTTTTCCCACATTTAATACTGCAAATTAATAAGTGAAAGTAAAATGTCTTTGGTTGTGAGAGAGAGCTATGGACAGAAATATTTTCAACACTCGGTGACTGCTTTCAAAGCAGTCTGTAAGAATCCATGGAAAGGGGATCCCTGGGTGGCGCAGTGGTTTGGCGCCTGCCTTTGGCCCAGGGCGCGATCCTGGAGACCCGGGATCGAATCCTACGTGGGGCTCCCGGTGCATGGAGCCTGCTTCTCCCTCTGCCTGTGTCTCTGCCTCCCTCTCTCTCTCTCTCTCTCTCTCTGTGACTATCATAAATAAACTAAAAAAAATTTAAAAATTAAAAAAAAAAAGAATCCACGGAAAGTTATTCTGGGAATCGGTCATTGTCTACATAAAAAGTTGTTCTGAGAATACCTCTATAAACAACTTCAAGGAAAAAAAAAAGTACTCTGGAAAAGTGAAATCAAAATAAACTGTTAGAGAGTGTTCAAAGTGACCCAGATCACGCAGTGACAGGACATAAGTAGGATGCACAATTCACTCATCTAACAAAGAGGCAAATTTCCCAAAGGCGAGTTCTACAAACAACCCAATTTTTCTGTTAATGTGAAATGGCTTTAGTTTTCATCTTCTGTGCTGCCAATACAGGAACCGCCAGCCACGTGAGCTACTGAGCTCCTAAAACCTGGCCAGTTTGAAACGACAGGTTACTAGAAGTGTAAAATATATGAGGGAATGTGAAGACTTGGTGCCTTTAAACACAATTGCTTTGAGAATGTAAAATATCTTGGGGATTCCCAGTGGCCCAGTGGTTTAGAGCCCCCTCAGCCCAGGGCGTGATCCTAGAGTCCCGGGATCGAGTCCCACGTCGGGCTCCCTGCATGGAGCCTGCTTCTCCCTCTGCCTATGTCTCTCTGTCTCTCTCTGTGTGTGTGTGTCTCTCATTAAATAAATAAATAAATAAATAAATAAATAAATAAATAAATAAATAAATAAATAAATAAATAAAATTTAAAAAAAAAAAAAAAAGAAAGTTAGGTGGAGGGCACCCCGGGTGGCTCAGTGGTTTAGCGCCGGCTTCCGCCCAGGGCCTGATCTTGGAGTCCCGGGATCGAGTCCGACGTTGGGCTCCCGGTGCATGGAGCCTGCTTCTCCCTCTGCCTGTGTCTCTGCCTCTGCCTCTCTCTCTCTCTCTCTCTCTCTCTCTCTCATGAATAAATAAAATATTTTTAAAAAAAGAATGTAAAAATATCTCCATAAATTTCACACTCACTACATGTTGAAAGTGTTCTGGATACACTGCGCTAAACAAGAAGTTCTTAAAATCAACTCATCTGTCCAATGTGGGCACTCGGACAATCTAAAACTTGCCTGTGTGGCTCGTTTTATATTTCTATTACACAGCACGGTTCTGCATAACGAATGAGATAAGTAACAGACCGCGAGCCCTCCCGCGGCGTCCGGCCCTGCGCGCTAGGTACTCTACACCCGGGGGGCTGGGTGGCTCCGCGGTTAGCGCCGCCTGCAGCCCGGGGTGTGATGCTGGAGACCCGGGATCGAGTCCCACGTCGGGCCCCCTGCGTGGAGCCTGCTTCTCCCTCTGCCTGCGTCTCTGCCTCTGTGTGCGTGTGTGTGTGTGTGTCATTAATAAATAAAATCTTAAAAAAGAAAAAAAACCAGAATTTAGGGACTCTACACGGTACTTGGAGCAACACGGCTGCAAAGCGGTCCCACGAGACGTCCGCCTGACGGACTGAGATTCATCAAACCCACCAAGGACGCCGCTGCAATTCAAGGTCAGGCGTTCCCACCAAACAACTTGAGGGAAGGGGCTCCTGGCAGCCAAGGCTGGGGCAGCTTCCCCGACGGCCTGGGAAAGCCAGGCACCCGACGCAGCGCGCCCAGGAGGGGCAAACTCTGGGAACCGCACGACAGGTACAAAACGTCAGGTAACAGCCTTGACAGCTCAGGCTGCGCAGCTGCGAGCAGCCAGTTTGTACCTGCGGAGCTCAAATTCCCTGGATAACTTGGCCGCGGCTCGTGCGGAGGGAGGAGGCGTCGGGATGCCGGACCCAGCCCCCCCCCCCGTCGCGCCGCCTCCGCCGCCAATCCACCTACACTCCACCGGCCCACGGCCACACCCCAGAGGTCCGCGCAGCTCCGGCGTCCCCACCGCTCGGACCAGGGCAAGCGGGACCGAAAACCTCCCCGAGGGGACAGGGAAGCAGTCAAGAAAGCGCGAGGAGCCCGCTGGGGACGGATACCTGAGACAGAAGAGGACCCCTGGTCCTTAAAGCCGGATCATCGCCGAGGCCCCTCCCGGCTCCCACGGCCGCCAGCGACCCAGAAGGTGCAACTGACCTGACGCTGCGGCGCAACCGACTGTGCTCTCCCCAGAGTCGCAGCTATGGCAACTTGAACTAGCCGCCTAGCCGCAGCGAGAGAACAGGACCCCGCTGCTGCCGCTTGGCCCTCTGGGAGTTGTAGTCCATCTTGCCCTCAAAAACAACGAGTCGTCAAGGGAAAGCGGCCCTAAGGGAAACTTCAAATCCCAGGATGCCATGCGACTGGCTTCAGGGCGACTTTCCCGGAAGAAGCCGGATTAGCTGCCACCACCTGAGTCCCTAGGCCGCGCCCTCTGGCCCTGTTCTTTTTTTTTTTTTTTTTTTTGTTAAAGGGCCAGTATCTTATTTAGGAAGGAAACACCTGACCGTGAATTAGCTGCCTCCCCATCCACCACCACCCTAATTTATTCAGAAAAGTCTAAAATATTTACTTTTTAAGCAAATAAGAAAGATTCAAGGTAGTTGCAACAATATCAGACTCTGTTGCTTTTACTCCTTTCAGATTAATTTCCAGAAATGAAATGTACAAAGCCCCATAATACCAGAGCCAATGTTTTTTTCCAAAGGCCCACAAATTCTTAGAACTGGAAGGGGACATAAATTGTCTAATCAAACCCTTTAAGCCTGAAAAGAGTGACTTACCCAAGATCTCAGAGCTCATTAACACCAAACCAAAAGTCTATAAGGCTGTCACTTCATGACTGCTGCTGCTACCTTCAGTCTAGGGTATCATCTCCTCAGTCATTTTGGAAGAAGAGAGATGTATTCCACTCAGAGAGGTTGGTTTCGGTCGCAAAAAAAAAAAAAAAAGGCGATAAAAAAAACCTCTCCAAAGAATTCAACTTTGGAAAAGCTAAGAAGTGGAAATCAATTAGTCATGTAGAGCCTCATTTCCTGTGCTCTGCCAAAAAGACCATTGATCCTTCCCTCCTCAAGGCTAAAATCAAAATTTCCGTTATCTGTGAAAGCTTTCCTGGCTACATCAGGAAGAGCTAGATCGCCCTGAATGAACAGTTTCCCTATTCTAATAATTGTGTGCTGTAATCATCCACTTCCCCATTGGTAACTTCCATCAGACTCAGCCCTTCAAAGGCAGGGCCAAAACATGCTTTTAAATATTTTATTTAAATTCAATTTGCCAACATACAGTATGACACCCAGAGCTCATCTGGGGCCAAATCTTTCAAAATCAGTATCTCTCTTTGCAGCTTTGCCTCACTTTCCACTCTCCCTTCATCTCTCTCTTTCTCACACACAGACAAAATCATAAATAATTAGCACACAAATTTGATATATTAAAATAATCCAATTATTTTCTCTGGTGGCATTGAGGGGTAAAGTTTATTTCATAACATGTTTGAACATAAAATAATTCTTCTAAAAATTACCTATGTATTTTCATCTATCTTCAAGCTGCTTGCTCATAGTTGTATTCAAAAATATACTCTACCTGATGCAGGGATTAAGATAATTCAGAACAGCCATAAAGTTTCCCCATATACATGCAGAAGCATAATAATAACTCCATTAACATTTTAATTTTTCAAAACAATTACATTCATTCATTTAATTCAGCAAATGTATGCCATATGCTTCTAGCAACCACACACTGTATTGGACACTAAAGATGCAGTAAACGTGAGGAGATATACAACAGTTTCTGCCTTCATTTGTTCAGAGACAAGTGAAGAAAAATACTGTTAAATTTCTACAAATCTGGGTGAGAGATTACTGCGTAGATTTCTGTGAGAGACACGAAAGAGAAACTTTTTTGAGGAAGTGATATCTGATCAAATGCAGGAAGAATGACTACCAAAAAATATAATGTCAACTTGGACTGCACCACAACCTCTCTTTACTGGTCCAACCATTTTTAGAGATTAGATTAAATTCTGGAACCCCCATTTTTAAAGTGCTATTAACAAAACAAAGCAAAATCAGAGGACACAATTGGGACAAAGAGATGGAGAATCAGATTTGAGCTCATTATGACCAAGATATTTTAAAATACACTATTAAATTACAGCAGCTTTTTATCATATTATGCTTTCAATCCACAGATGTGACATACAGAAAAAATCTAGTGAGATCAGACCATAGAATCTTTCTCTTTTTCTTTTTTTTTTTTTTTTAAGATTTTATTTAGGGATCCCTGGGTGGCGCAGCGGTTTGGCGCTTGCCTTTGGCCCAGGGCGCGATCCTGGAGACCCGGGATCGAATCCTACGTCGGGCTCCCGGTGCATGGAGCCTGCTTCTCCCTCTGCCTATGTCTCTACCTCTCTCTCTCTCTGTGTGTGACTATCATAAATAAATAAAAATTTAAAAAAAAATAAAGATTTTATTTATTTATTCATGGGAGACAGAGAGAGAGAGAGAGAGAGAGGCAGAGGGAGAAGCAGGCTCCATGCAGGGAGCCCAACGTGGGACTTGATCCTGGGTCTCCAGGATCACACCTTGGGCGGAAGGCGGCGCTAAACCGCTGAGCCCCCCAGGTTGCCCAATCTTTCTCCTTCTTAACAAAATAAAGTAAGAGCACCAACAAAAAATATTTACACAAAATGTGTCTTATAACTTGAAAACCCATTTATTGCATTTAATCAGTGTAACAAACCCACATTATCCAACTCCAAAACCACACTTAAGTTGAATCACTTGATCTTAGAGTTGGAAAAACCCATAAAGATTATCACCTGCAGAACCCTTCTTTTGCAAATAATGTAAATAGAAGCATAGAGAGATTCCATGATGTACTGGTTTGCTAGTACTGTTAAAAGTTGCCACAGAATAGGTGGCTTGAAAAAACAGATATTTATTTCTCCCAGTTCTGGAAACTGCAAGTCCAAGAGCAAGGTATCAGTAGGTTTAGGTTCTCCTGAGGACTCTTCATTGGCTCATAGGTAAGATAGTCTCTCTCTCTAGTTATAGACTTTTCCCTTTGCAGACAGGTACCTGATGTCTCCCTCTCTTCCTATGAAGAAAACCAGTTATTTAGGATTAGGGTCCCACCCTTAAAACCTCATTAAACTTTAATTGCTTGCTTAAAGGCATTGCCTTCAAATATGGTAATATTGATGGTCAGGACTTCAACATATGAGACTGGGGAGGAAGGAGGACCCAATTTAGCCTATAACACACAATTTCCTCAAAATTTTACCTTTTTACAATTAGTGTCATCAATGATCTTCCCACAACACAATACCTTGATAATTGTATGTGGCAGATATTTTTAATATACCTCACCCATATGACCCCTTAACTTGGAATGATTCTACCCATAGCGTTGGGCCCCAAAATCTTGTTTATATTATATAAAGCCCTTTCTCTGACCATGGCTGATTGGTCAATGATGAAACAGTTTGGGCCAATCAGGATCTTTATCCTTTGAGAGTTTAAAATTGGGACTCAAGCGTTCAATTGGTTGCCTGAATAGTCTTGTTGTAAAGGTACAAGCTGAGGCTGTCATGGTCACATGACCATCTTCATCGACGGTCAAGGAGAAATTGAAAAATCTGATCTGCAGAGAAAGAGAAATGAGTAAATCAGCAAAAGTGCAGCCCCAGAGGAAATAAGCCTAAAGGGACAGAACCTTGGATCCTGACAATTTCCAAGTTATGGCTTTAATCTTGTTATTTCCACTATATTTCACATATATGTGTTCTGGGATACATTAGAGGCAGCCGGAGATGGTTAAATGCACAGATTCTTGACCCAGAGCACTTGGGTTCAAATCTTAGCTGTAATACCTCTCAGCTACATCACCTCAAGTACCTAGTCACTCTGTGCCTTCATTTCTTCTCCTGCCAAATGGAGTTGATAAGACTAGTATCTAATTTGTAAAACTGTTTTGAGGATAAAAGAAAGAATGTATATGAAGTATTTCACCCGGTGCCTAATCTATAGTAAGCACTCAGTATACATTGGTTAATATATAACATGATATCCCAGAATGTTAGTTTCATGAACATCAAGACTTTGTTTATTATTTTGTTCAAGGCTCTTAGATCAAAGAACATACCTTGTTGCCTTCTGAAGATTTCCATTTGAAGCTTAAGTTCTCTGTTGATTGAAATCCAAAGACCCTTGACTAAGATTACATTGATGAACCCTAATTGTCCAGCCTATAAAATCTGAGTTCCTAACATTACATAAAATTTTTTGAGCAGCTTCTTTAGAAACAATTTTGAACTATACCAAACATTAAACATCTAAATGGATTAATCAGTAGGAGGTTCTGGGGTGGGGCTAGTCTGAAAACATTGACATGATCATCATATGATCATCAAGAATATATAGCATAGAACAGGAAAGACAGCTACTAAGTAAGAAGCTGTTGGGTAGCAGACATAAGCAGTGCTATTTCAAGTAAAAGGGCCAAAAGTTGTGTTTCACCAATACCTTGCAAACAACAAACTGAAACAGCAGCAACAAATTGATTATTTCCATGTGACAGAAAAATATAATTGAAATACTAACCAAAAATTTCCTCAAGTATTTTCTTTTCTCACTTGGTTCTCCTCCCATCACCATTTAAGCCAGGTAAGTTGTTCTGTGCTTATAGCCTCAGAGAAAGTATGTGACCACAGAAAGCAGAAAGGGAGAAGAACAAGAGAGAAAAAGTAGAGGAAACAGTTTTCTCGCCCTGGCTTTTGAACATTAAGCATCTAGATTCTCAGATAAGACTGACCGCACAACTTGTGGGGTTCAATGCAAAATGAAAATGTCAAGCCCTGTTCAAAACTGATCCAGATTGTCAAAATGGTGTCAGCAGAGCCTTAACCAAGAACAGGGCCCATGAAATCGCACAGATCACCAATGGAACAGAATAGAGAGCCCAGAAATGGACCCACAATTATGGTAAATTAATCCATGCCAAAGGAGGCAAGAGTATACAACCGGGAAAAGACAGCTGGGAAAACTGGACAGCTACATGCCAAAGAATGAAAGGACCACTTTCTACCACCACACCAAAAATAACTCAAAATAGATTAAAGACCCAAATGTGAGAGCTGAAACCATACACATCCTGCAAGAGAACACAGGCATTT